AAAAAAAAAAAAAAAAAAAAAACCATATTTTTTGTATCACTTTTTTTTCTTTTCTTGTCAAATATATTACAATTAAAAGTAATAATTAACTTTTTTTTTCATCAAATTTACAGCCTAATTTAATTCTACAAATTAATTTACCAATTCTTCTAAATGTTCTTCTCCAGTTTTTTGACTGTTGTCAACAGTGTCTTCTTGGAACAGATTATTCATAATAGAAAATTCTTTTCTACTCAAAAAAAAAAAAGATTGACAAAAGCAAAGATCAAATTACGAAAAAAAAAAAACAAAAAAAAAAATTAAAGATGATTTTGAGGAGCGGAGAGGGGAGAAGGGGGGGGAGGGGGAAAAAGCAAAAAACAGTTAAGAAATGAAATAAAAGTAAAAGATGTGCAAAAGTGTTATTGTTGTGGGATAAGCAAAAAATGAAGAAAGATACATTGTTGGCCCCAAAGCAGAAAGAAAAAAGTGCCTGTGATGAAGGCACATAAAGGTTGCAGGTTAATTTATTATCTGTCATTCTTCGTGTGTGGCAAAGCTCTATGGTTTAGGTATATAGCACCATTACCATCATCACCATCACTACCAACACCAACAGAAACCAAAAAAAAAAAAAAAACGATTTTTGCTAATATAACCATATTCTCTAAATACTTTTTTTCTTTATAACAGATTTAATATTAAATTTTTTAAATAGATTGAGCTGCTTTTTTGCTCCTCTTTTTTTTCCTATACTAAACAGCTTTAGTAAAATGTATCATCACATGGCTTCAATGTTTTGAAATATTACAGTTTTATTTTTCTTCTTTTTTCTTCTTCTTCTTTCTTCTTCTTTACACCTATCAATATTGGCTAATGTTGAAACAATAAAGATAATTGGAAAAAAAAGTAGTGCAGACATTATCATAAACTTAGATAATGTTCAAAACAAAAAAAAGAAGCCAAAAATTAAGACATAATAATAAAATAGTCTTCATTTTTTTTCTGCTTTTTTTTACCCCCATCATATTTTATCATCCTTTTTTCTTCAAGAATAAAAGATGTCTAAGAGAAAAAAAAAATTGATGAAAAAGCAAAGAACAAACTTTTACTTCAGATTAAACAAAACACAAGAAAATCTTTTTCATTGATTCTTTCCTTCCTTTCCTTTACTTCACTTTTCTTTCCTTTCCATTTTTTTCTCTTCTGTAATTTAGTTGCTGCAACAAAGCGCTCATCTTTTGCTATAAAAATGACCGCCATAATTGTTGAAAAAGAAAAAAAAAAAGAAAAAAGAAAAAAGGAAAAATGAGAAGTTGAAAAATAAAAATAAAATAAAACAGAATGCGAAACAGAAGAATTTTTAAAAATTATTTTTTTCCAACAACAAATATCATTTTCCGGATGACTGCCAAACAAACCGAATATCCCAACATCGGTACGGTAAGTCGTTGAACGATAACTGGCGATCTATTTCATGTTTTATAATCTAATTTGAGTATTTTCTTTCTTTTTTTTTTTGCCAATAACACTAAGGGACCGCCGCCAATAAGTGGTATTATCAGATATCAGCAAAAAAAAATAAAAAAAGTGCTCATAAAGTTAAACAACTGTTTTTCACTTGTTTCACTTTTTGTTACAGTGTTTTTTTTTTTTTTTTTTTTCAAGCCACAAAGAAAGGAACGAAACTTGAAGTTGGTGATTATAAAGAAAAAAGTGAGAGAAATAACAGAAATTTTTTGATAGAATATATAAACTGAGGTTTTCTTTAAAGCAATTGAACGCTTTTTTTTTGATTTTTTCCGCTATTCAGCA